ACAACAGCAGGATACTCGTCACACCGGAGTCTAATGTTCTGAAGTGTGATATTTCCAAAAAGGGAGGGCAGAGAAATGCTGTACATTATTATCGAAGCAGAGCCTAGAGCAATCTGGAATTAACTGTAGATGACAATGACATTAGGTGACGGAGCAGCCTGGTATGTAGCTACAAGGAGCAAAGCTGTTTCTCAGTAGAAAATTTCAGCCTGATTGCTGCCTAGAAGGTAGAGCTGCGAATCGCGATGGGCCTTTCAGGTAGGAGCTGCTACCAAATAAGTGACAATTTTCAAACGAAAATCTCTGAGTGCGGAACATGAAAAATCATAGAATTATAAAAATGTATGACTGGACCAAACCATAAACGTCATCTGTGCAATACTCTCATTTTATAAGAGGGAAATAGTTCCATAACTGGATGTCTTGCTTACCAGTCGGAATGAAGTTGACACTTGATTCTGGTCATTAGATCCCCAGTCCAGCCACAGACTCTACTATACTGTGTTTTAGAAGCACTATCCTTTTTTTTTTTTTTTAAGTTAATTAATTAAAAAAAAGTACTCTTTTGCTATGTTGCCCAGGGTAGAGTGCAGGGACTATGCACAGGTGTGTCATAGCATAGCGCAGCCTTGAACTCCAACTCGAGCGATCCTCCTGCCTCAGCCCCTGAGGAGCTGGAACTATAGGTTACCATGACCACACCAAACCAGTAGCATCATCCTTAAAATAGAGGTGCAACCTGGTAAACTAGAAGGAAGCCCCTTTATACCTTCAGTGAAAAATCTAGGGAGGGGACAGTGCATGAAGTGTGAAATCAACATACTCAAAACCTTCCACAGATTATTAAATATATGACCCTGACGATGTCTTTGAATTTTTAATAATTCTATGAGTTTTAGCCCACCATGAAGACCTACTGTGAACTCGAAGGGAATTCAGAGGTCCTTTCCTCCAACCCTTTCATTTCAAGGTATAGGAGACTCTTAACTCTGTAGATGGTTATGTTATATACCCTTCTTCTGGGTAAAAGGGAGATAGGGGATGTGAGGAAGATTTTAGGGGGTGTGGTAAGTGATATTTAGGGGAATTCAATGGGCTTGAAGAACTTCCAAAGGCCTGGGAAGGTGTGTTGAATTTCCGGAGCACACGATGGTTTGTGACAAGAGTCTGTCCAGGTGTGTTGACGGACTTCAGTCTTTCTTCCTGGGAGAAGAATTCAGTTAATAAAAACTCAGGGAAGGGACCAGAGGCCATTATTTTCTTCTTTGGTGGGTCTGGACTGTAGGCAGATGAGGAAACTTCAGAGAACAATTTCTCCTGTGCAGCGAGAGAGGACTGAGGAGGGAGAGCGGGCAGAGAGACCCTGAGGCTTCTTCAGTTCAGCATGTCAAAGCACCCTGTTTGGGGGTATCAGTTTCGGAGTCCCAACTGTGTCCTTCTCCCCATTTTCTCAATTTTCTCATACTCCTTAAGCTTCAGGGAGAGAAAATTATCTAATTTAAACCAAAGTAGTAACTTGCCAGATCATTTGCTTTTAAATTGTCAGGATTCTTGAATATGCATTCGGTGCTCTGCCATGACCTCTCCGTCCTTTCTCCTGCGACTTGTCTTCAATTCACACTCCACACCAATCAGTCCTCCTTAAACGTGATCCACCTTCACCTTTTACCTTTGCCTTAACACAGTCCACTGTCTGAGACTCAGGAAAACCCAAACCCGGAATTACCTCTAAACCTGAAATTCTCTCTCCCTGTTCTCACTTCTCCCTTGCATTTACTGTGGCACTGACATAATTTATGGTAAATTGTATTTGCTAATTCTTTGAAGGTACCTTTTTAACTGCATGGAAGTTCAAATCTCCCCCTGAAGTTTCATTTCTGAGTCTGCTAGAATGAATTGATAACAGATAGACTAAAGAAAAGCCATAATAGGCTCGGCGCCTGTGGCTCAAGTGGCTAAGGCGCCAGCCACATACACCTAAGGTGGCGGGTTCGAATCCCCAGCCCGGGCCTGCCAAACAACAATGATGGCTGCAACCAAAAAATAGCCGGGCTTTGTGGCGGGCACCTGTGGTCCCAGCTACTTGGGAGGCAGAGGCAGGAGACTCGCTTGAGCCCAGGAGTTGGAGGTTGCTGTGAGAGTGATGCCATGGCACTCTACCCAGGGGGATAGCTTGAGGCTCCGTCTCAAAAAAAAAAAAAGAAAAGCCATAATACATTAATTAACATTCATAAGCACTGAAGCCATATAAAATATAAAAACCCAAGGAAGACCTAGATAGTTGAGGCTTGAATACGTTTTAATAAGGGAGTGAGAAGTGGGGGAACAACAATTTTAGAGGCATAGTAAATGATTTTCAGGGGGAATGAATAGATCTGTGGTCCCCAATCCCTAGGCACAGATTGCTACTGGTCTGTGGACTGTTAGGAACTGGGCCGCACAGCAGGTGAGCGGGGATGAGCAAGTGAAACTTTGTCTATATTTATAGCCCCTGTAAACTGCACATTTGTAGGAGGGATCTAGTTTGCATGCTCTTTATGAGAATCTAAAGCCCCCTACCATGGACATCCCTGGTGCCGAAAAGGTTGGGACAGTCCTAAAAGGCAGACATATCTTATAAGATAATGTCTTGATTTATAAAGAATTCACTTTGGAATTTGAATGAATTCAAGAGATAGTATCTTTTTTTTTTTTTAGACAGAGTCTCACTATGTTGCCCTTGGTAGAGTGCTGTGACATCACAGTTCACAGCAACCTCAAACTCTTGGGCTTAAGTGATTCTCTTGCCTCAGCCTCCCAAGTAGCTGGGACTACAGGTGCCTGCGACAATGCCCAGCTATTTTTTGGTTGCAGTTGTCATTGTTGTTTAGCAGGCCCAGGCTGGGTTTGGACCTGCCAGCCCTGGTGTATGTGGCTGGTGCCATAACCACCGAGTCAGACAGTATCTCTTAATAAAGTTCACCTGAGATGTGGTTACATCTCTCAGTCTTCTTTCTTGTGACAGATAATGCAATTTCAGGGAGAAAATAGATGGCAATTATGTTCCCTTTGGCAGTTTCAGTGTTAAGGCAGATCAGGGACTAAAAGAGTAAAATTTTGCCCTGTGCTGGGTGAAGGGGAAACAGGAGAAGTCAGAAAGCCCTTGATCCTGAGGCGGTGTTAAAGGCTTTCTCATTTGATTCAGAGTGCTCAGCGTGCCAAAGTGTCATCCTTTTGGAGTATGGCTTTCTAAGCCCTAACATAACCTTCCTCTCAAAAATAGTTTGCTCTAAATTTTGGTCAGTTTCAAGATGTACCATCAATCACTGTTTAAAGAAACAATAATAGACAAAAATTAAATTCAGTGTAATATATCATAATTAATTGTGGGTCAAAAGGCTTTTACACCAAACTGACACAGAGCTCAAGGTCTATCCCCTTGTCAAAAAGTCAACTAAGGCCTCCCTGGAGACAATATTCTTTTCTATTCTGCTCTAATGGCCAAGTCCTTTAAGTATCATCTTTAGGAAAGATGAACCACATTCTACTCAAACAATGATTCGAGCAGCCACCATTTTGAAGGTCTTCTCTGATTCAGATATTACCCTTGCCATCTCGATAACCTATGAACATTGTCATTTCAGTAATATATTCAAAGACTAGCACGGGTGAGTAACTTGCACAGGATCCCTAAGAGGCAGAACAGGGACCAAAGTTCACCTCTAGTCAAAATGTGCACCCTTCCCATACAAAGCCTTCCTTGACACACACACTCTCCCTACTGCTGAGAGGATGCAATTTCTGATACAGCTGGTGGGAGTAATTTGTATAAATGATGTATGCCCTGCCTTATCAGAAAGGATTAAAGGCAAGGGTGAAATACAATCGTGTTTTTTGTTACAGTGCAAAAGAATAGGTTTTGGTTGTTTTAGTTTAAAGCCCAGAGTTGACAGCTGTGAGAAACCTATTTTCTCAGTGAGAGAAGGCGATAATACTGCCTAACTCCTAGTGCTGCTCTGAGCACTCCAGAAACAACATGGAAAGCTCCTGGCACAGCAGCAGGTATGAAGCGGAGATCGTAAATATCAGTTCCTTCCTCATTCCACCCTTTCCTTTGACCCTGAGTTGTTTCTTTATGGGTGGTGGTCTCATTTGAAGGCAGACTAGCTCTATTTTTCTCCTCACTGAGAGTTACTTCCAGATTTATCATTTTCCCCATGTGTGAACGACACTCCAAGCTTTAGGAGAGGCCTTTAACCATCATACCCTCCTTGCTACGCAGAATGGAATCATGTAAACTGTTTGAGATTAAGCCTGAGTGGTGACCTCTGTAGGATTCATTGCTGCTTCTTGAAGTCTAGTAAGATACAGATGACTAATTGACACTGTTTACTAAGACTATTGAATTTGAAAATTTATAGCAATGCTACACCATTTTTATGCATTGATCACATCAACACCATTATTTATTTATTTATTTATACAAATTTATTGAGCACCCACTATTTGCCAAGGCACCAGGCCAAGAACTCATGTGATGATAAGAAATGAGCATAAGGCAGGCAAAGTTGTTGTTTTCTAGAAACTGCCAATCTTAGACAGGAGGGGAGGGGAGCTGTAGAAGTGAGAAGGAAACAGGCAAACCAGTGCTTGTAACTCTGAATGATACGTACTCTACTGAATTCTATTTAAAGTTGTAATAGATTGTATAAATGCTTTATACACTTATAATACCAAATTTTCACGTTCTATCACAAAATTAATACTAATAACAAGGGCAAATGTAATGTGTTTGTTGGCAGAACATACTTATAATCTTTATAACTAATACCTCAATAGTAAAATTTTTACATGAAATAGTACCATTGAAATTAAAAACAATTTTTTTAGATCTCTTCCTGTTCTAAGTACAATGCAGACAGAGCAATTGAGACATTCACTAAATCTGGCTTTGCTAAATGATCTCAACTTTACCAAAAAAAGGAGAGCAATTTTTCATTTCACAAAGAAAATCATATCGTGCATGGGTTTGGATTTATGGTGGGCCTGTTCCCCTGGGCCTCTCATAGTGCCCAGGTCAAAGGAAACTGTGGCCTTCAACTGTTGCCTGGCCTCACGTCCATAGGCTGCTGGCACTGAAGTGGGTTGCACAGAGGGGAAAAAACCACAAGCAAAGAAAATCATATCAACAGACATGCAAACCTAGGATGAATTATTGTTTAATAATTACTCACACGTAAATTAAGCTTCACATTTTTCTCTCTTTTATTTTTGGCTTTAACTTATTAATTTAAATGGTGATGGCAGTTGTTCACTAGCGGTAATAAAGGCAGTTGCATTAAAGGAACAGGAGGAAAGTGTTTCCAATAAGACCTCTACAAAGAAGGGGTCACATACAGATTTCTCTGAATGAAGAACTCGTAAGAGTTAGAATACTACCCACAGATCTGGCTTAGAAAGCATAACTAGAGAATTAACTGAGAGGTTTTGAAAGGCATCAGAAGAATGTATTCTGCGTCATGAGTGATGAAGAAAGTATCAAGGAAGGTTAAGTAATTAGTCAATACTAAACCAATATGTGACTGAGGCAATGACACCCACTTGTGAGTGGGACTTTCAAGAAGGGAAGACAGAAAACAAGAAAGCTTACTGTGAATATTAGAAACCACCACGGGGGAAAAGGAAACAAATAGACGAGGTTCAAACAAGCTCTCAGAAAATGGTATGCCACCGTGCTTCTTTCCCACTCTTATTTTGAAGTTTCGTCTTCATCAGGACTCTAAATTACAACTGACTTTTGCTCAGAGCACCAAATATGACATGGTTCAAATGAAGACTCTGACGCCAGTCAAAGAGGATGACAAGAAAACCTTGTTAAAAATATTCATTTACTTGTTAACAGAGTTTTTCTATACAGTTTTTAATGCTGCCCTCTAGGATTCATTTTTATTTATTTCCTCCGAAGGTTCCATAGCTTTCATGACGGTATTCTTATTCATGTTGCCCAGAAACAAAAGAGCCTGCGGTTTCCTGACATTGGTGCTTTTAAGATATGCTCGATTCCCCAGTTTTGAGCAGAAGTCAAAGGAAAAGATAATATATGAGTACGAGAAGACCTGAAGCTTGACAAAGACTCTCCTTTCTAGAGAGAGAGAATACTCCATTCTCATTAGGAATAAAAGCCCAGAAGCTACTAGCTGGCATCAGCCCGTGAAACCCCAGGCTTCTTTGAGTCATCAGCACTCACAGTAGCTCTACAGTGTCTGCAAGCAAGAAAAAGTCTCATGCTCAATAATAACCTTTTCTGGTCATCTCTTTGTTCTAACACAACGCACAGCATGAGCTCCTATTGTTAGTTAAGTGTACGAAATCAGCTATGTAACTACTTACGTGGTTATGATATTCATTAGTTGCTGATCCCATGAAAAGTTGATAAAGGCTGGCACCAACTATATTATAGGCATTGTATTATGGGTTTCACTTGCATTATCTTGGTGAACCCTCACAGCAATAGCATGTTGAAATACTATAACCATTTAACAGAAGAGGAAACTGAGGCTTAGAAGGAAAAAAGTCACAAGTTTGGGTAGACAGATACTAAAAGTCTTGGAGGCATTGAACCCACATTCAAAGGAGAAGAAGATCAGATGCAAGCATGGAAGACAAACTTATAGACAGCAGGCTAGAATGCCTGCTCATCCCCATATATCTCTGAAGTCTATACATCTAACTTCTTATGGTGGGCTGCAAGCAGGTCTGATACGCAGCTAGTATTAACAGGTCAGGCTCTACAGATTTTAAAGTTCCTGGAGTGGAACAAGGTGGCTGGTGCCTGTAGTCCGAGCTACTTGGGAAGCTGAGGTGGGAAGACTGCTTGAGCCCAAGAGTTGGGAGTCCAGCCTGGGCAACATAGCGAGACCTTGTCTCTTAAAAAATTTTTTTACATGACCCCCCCACCCCGGCTCCCCCACAAAAAAGCACTCTATTCTGCAGGTTGGAAAAAGTAACCTGGTCAAGCTGCCTCTGTAGCCACGATCTCCTTGGAATAGTGACCACGGAGTTACTATTCCAGACTTTCTGGAACCTGCTCTGTCTCTAACTGGCTGATGTTGGAGCCAGTCAGCCCCTCAAAGCCCTGCCTTCTGGCAGTCTGTAGTCTGAACAGAGCTTGTCCCTTCTACAGCTATCCATGGGAACTTCAGCCACCATGGGAATTTAGCTCTGAAGGATCCAGAGAAAGACAAAAGAACTTGGCAGTGTGGACCAGCTGGTGAGTCACAGGTGGGGTGGTGTAGTACATGATACCATGTGTATATTTTAAATTTCACCTCCAATTGCAAGACCAGATGAGAAATCCATATCTTGATAAAATAAGGTATTAGTCATTTAGTAAAATGGGGTACTCAATTATGTTTACAATGGGATCTAGCAGAAAAAAAGATTATCTGGTCTCTAAAAACAACCATGAAATTTAAGGTAAAACCATAAAAACAGTTCTCAAATATAACAAGAATGTCATGTTATGCTAAATAGATCACAAGATAAAAATACCACACATGAAAATAGATTATCATGCTAGAAACTCTGCCATTTCTAGTGAAGAAAGTTTAAAGATCTCTTAACTTTTGGAAATTTGTCATTTATTTGATAACTAGTAATCATTTCTTGAGGGACAGGGGAATCCTTGATAGAGATGCTGAGCTTAATAATACCGGTCAGTTTCTTAGAGCTAGTACAGTTCTGACTGCCCATTGGCAGAAACTCTGCTTTCTACCTGCTCGGTCTGTTTAGTGGTAGGAGACAGGCAGGGCGGTGTATATGTTGAGAGGAGAAATGACAAGGGGTTGAGAATAAGATATTAGCACAAAACTATCAAATTCTGGGTAGTTGATCTACAGAATAAACTTTTAACAATTTATGAAATCCCTGACTCTGAAATTCGATGGTGGCTTTCTGCCACATTTGAGCTTGTTTTATAAGGCACTTGACAATGTGTTGAAAAGAGGTTTGCCGAGTTATTTGTGTCCTTGTCTTTTTTCCTACACCACTCAAAGGAAGTTCCTTAAGGGTGGGGATGACATTGAATGGACTCGAATTTGTAACTCCAAGCAGCCAATCTATAAGCAGAGTTCTGGGAAACTATATTGAAGTAAATTGGTTATTACTTGAATACACTGCCATCTTCAACTGGGTACCTCTTTAAATCAAACAATCTCTTTGAGATTCTTGAATAAATTATGCCTTATTTTCATACTTTAATTTTTTTTGAGATTAAACAATGAACTCATAGCCTAGTTACCATAGATGGCTAAATCGCATTGGACTTTTCATTTGAAAGACTCAAACAAGGAATTCCTGGACCTGGTCATAATAATTCTTTGGAACACATTCTTGTAAAATATAAGGTATTTTAACAGTAATTCACAGTAGAGCTCTGCAATCTTTAATGTAATAAAATGCAACCAAAAACTCGTATGACTGGAAGAATATTGCTGTCTAGTGTTGAAATGGATCATTTAAAAAATTGGAACTAAGTGCTGAACAGGGAAATCCACAATAAAAATGGCAGCAGTAAAGAGAAAAAGTGGCTTTCATAAAGAATGTCAACACTGCCTTTCCTATGGATGCTTTTGCTAAAATATGTTAATCTGATCATTTTGATTTACTGGGTTTGCTTAATATTTACAAAAGGCCAATCATGTAGAATTTTACATCCATGGCTCTTTTTGTGAAATCCTCCACCTCCCCAAAAGAGGAAAAGAAAAAGGAAAAACAACCTGATTAATGGCTGCGGCCAGGATGTGAGTGCTATAAAAATGAGACAAGACAGTAATATGCTCTTTTGGTAAAGTGCAACTAGAGCTTCAAAGGTGGCAATGAATCTTGTTTTACACATGGAAAATGTACACATGCTTGAGAGGTACTCACTCTATCTACTGCTTTAGGGTTTCCAGATATTTCAAAATATTTTTTGAATTAAGGCACATCATGAGGCGGTTGCTGTGTTTTACCCTCATAAAAGCTGTTTTCCTGAACCACTCTCAGACACAGGTCTGGGAAATAGCCACGTGACACTCTGCTATGTTTGCTGAGCGAAGAGTAAATATGGTGAGGAGTTAAGCAGCCTCCTAAAAATGCAAATGGGAGCAATTTTTCTCAGATTTCAGCATCATTCACTCATACTGGAAATAGTTATTAAGTCCCTAGAAATAGCTGGGCTTCTACTGAGCAGCCAGTTTGTTTTTATCTCATGGACCTTGCAGATTCTGTCACCGATTGCAGTCCCCACTTTGCAGAGATGGCTGGAAAGCACAGAGCCAAATGTGACAAGGACATGAGACCTCATGGCACATATTTCATATAAAAAACTAATCTCGGTCCCTAATGGCTTTACTATATTTCTATTTAACAAACATTTAGCAAACATGCAATACAAACCAGGTGCCCTAATTGGATTTTTTTCCAATTTCTTCATTTAATAAAAACAAAACTTTTGTATTTTATGCACTTTCCTAAGCTAGTGTATATAGACTACTAGGCTCCTAATTTTTAAGGGTACAGATTGCAGACTTCTCCAAACTAGAGAATTAACTTGCCTCAATTTCTGGCAAGAAAGATGGTTTTCTATAAATTCCAATCACATCATATGGTTTGGTGCAAAATGAACTATCTATATGCATGAAGCTAATTGCTTAATAGCCCTACTAACATATGCTTTCTGGGAAAAAATGTATACACACACATACAACAAATATAATTGGTGGAATCCTTTGCTTAAAGGTCTCTAGAGTCTTAGCAGAAAGTTGTAAGTAAACCAAGAAACTTGCATACAAAATTATTCATTTATTCTACTCTTTGAGTCAAGTGTAAGACAGTACTATTCATCTTGGAAAGCAATCTGGCTATTCTTTCCTTTAAAAGCAATTTCATCTGGCAAAAAAATATGAAATGTGTTAAGTTTTTCCTGAAGAATATCAAAGGTACACCTTCCTACGTATTAAAAATAATAGTATAACAGGCTCAAAAGTCTTTATCTAAAAAATCATCATGAAAGAAAGCTGACTGATCAAAAATGATTCTTAAAAGTTGAATGCAGGTAGCGTCCTACCAAAAGCAGAACTAGTATGTGATAATAAAAAGATAAATGCATCTTAT